TGCTTTCAGAAGGAGTCCCCCCCCCGCTTCCGGGAGCCGGCGTCCATTTTGTGTTGCGTCGCCATTACTGTGTGTGTCTGCCCAACTGCTCTTTGGCTTGATTGAAGGTGAGACATCTTGTATCATTTGCTGTGTGCTCAACAAAAAGGTTGTCCATTTGTAAACAAAAGTTATTATGTTGTTGAGCTTCTTAGAAGATGTATAGTATCGCATAATGTTGCCCGTCGTTGGCAGAAGTGCGCCAGTATCGTCTATCCAAGTCAGAATAGCTATATCTTTGGGACTTAAGCTAGCTTGTGGCAGAAATCTATCACTTTATTCAACTTTAATTTAATCGTTTTCCAGATTGGTATGCCTTATGATAATAATAATGTTAATATTCGTTTTTTTCACCCATTAGGTACAGACTTCTCTGGTGAAGAATGGGGCCATGTATGTCCTGGCCTACCTGCACCCCGCGACTGCCGCCGGTGCAGAGCTAATGAAAAAATCACAAATGTTTGATGGTGGTTATTTAAGAAACCTTATTGAAAATTATTCAGTTAGTTGTTGTTGTTGTTGTTGTTGTTGTTGTTGTTGTTGTTAAAGTTATAGTTATTGTCCTGGCGTTGTTATTGTTCTCGTTCTCGTTCTCGTGCCCGAATAAATGTGCTGCAGCGCTACTCAGTCTGTTTACTTGCGGGTGGCGGTCGAGAGTCGGGGGCACTGGTCGACGGAATTCCGTCGACCGTGCCTCGACCCCGAAGGCCAGTAGTGGTACTAGTTAACTAGTGCCACTACTGGCCTTGAGCTAGTACCATTACTAGCCTTGGGGGCTAGTACCATTACTGGGTATGGATTAGTAGGCAGTGGCTAGTTACTTTACCAGGCAGGGGCTGTTATGACACCTAGTAGACGCACTACCCACGCTATTTACGTGCGTGTTGTCAAACTAGGTGGAGCACGGTGGTCGTATGCATACGAGGCACAGCCTTGTCGAACAAGCTTGTTACTCGGCAACTAGCCTAAAATTAGCCAAATTTACACGCTCCTGCAATGTTATTTTTGCGCTGAGAATTCCTCTACGAGGGGCTTGTAAGTTTTTTTTACAGTGTAGATGACCGAGACCACCCATAAAGGTGGTCTCGGTCATCGCGGGGGGCATACCCCTGGAAAAGTGTCTCCGAATTCCCAAAGCTCCAAAACTTGACTCCTTACGCAACTCTGTAAACTTAACGTAAATTTGTTTTTATAAAAGTTATGATGGTAGAGAATGACCTTATGCTCATGATACAATGAAATGATATTAAAATAAGGTCCAAAAATATTATTGATAAATTTTCTTTCTTTTGTAGAAAAAAACGATAAAATTTAATCGATTCCCGGCGCTGTGAGGATCGGTAGTTGAAATATACCCCCTTGGACTTGCCATGTTTTAAGCGCACTCAAACAAGACGACTGTGTCGAAGAGCCAATAGATCCTTTATGCTTGTGGTATAACGGAATTGTAACTTTAATCTATCACATAGGTAATATTTTTGTCTAAAATGCTTAACCACTTGAATTGGTATGATGCTGATTTAATCAGGTAGGTAAATCTTTGACGTCTTTTCTTCTAACGCGTTAATTAAATTCGTTCGCATTTCGAGCCATTTTGGATTGGTTTTCGGGACAATGGACTTCTCAAATAACAATTAAATCAACAAAGTGACATTTTTATATCTTCCTCAGGTATGAGGCAAATGATTATCTTTCGTTTTATAGTTTTGGTTGGGGCTACACTGAGGCAAACAATTATCATTTTTAAACGTTAATCAATAATTAACACGTTAATTAATATTTTCCTCAGTGTAGCCCCGTGAAATGAAAGAAAAACATTTAAATCGAGAACTTGTGTATCGGAAGAACTCCGGATATCTCCACCTGAAGAGTTATGAGGCCCGTACGAGGACAGACTCATATGCGGCTGCCTGTGCCTATAGTGCCTATACCCCTAGCATTCCCCTTCCCTCCCCTGCTAGATTATGGCAGCTATTGGTTACGTTACGTCTCAGTGATGTGCACAGCGGACTTGAGTCAGATGGCACCAAGTCTCCTCCATTGAATGGTGATGGCGTTTGACGCCCGCTGGTGATAGCTCATTGCCCGCTGACCGCTTGTGATCATATGGGGGGGGGGGGGACAGCAGTGATTGCCCACTGCCCAGCCTGCCTGCCAGCTTCGCGGCAGTGGCGACACTGCCGGCTGATTTAGGATTTCATAAACCACCGGTGCATGAAATAACGCCCACAGCGAAACGAAAATCACTTACTCGTGCAAATACAGATGCAAATTTATGAGACATGGATCCTGATTGCTCGAGGCCGACCAGGGCGTGTGCAGATTATTCATATCCGTGAACAAGCTGTCAAATGAGAATGACCCGTAGGTAATGACAACCGAACCACGCGAGATCAAATGTAGTGCACGTCTTTTGCTCAACTGCAGGCCGTGTTTCCACGACTCGCACATACTGCACAGATATAAAACAGACAATGCCCCAGCCAGCAGACACAGTCGTCTGCGACTCACTCTTCCAACATGAAGCTCCTGGTGCTCGCTGCGCTGGCCGCGGTGGCCGCTGCCGACCAGTCCGGTACCTCGGTGTACCGGTACGGTACCTCGGCCGGTACCCAGTCCCAGTACACACCGGCCACCTCCTCAGCTGGGTACGGACTCAAGTCCCGCAGGAGGCCGTTCGAGCCCACACTGAAACCGCTCAACGGAGGCTACCCGCGGCAGAACGGGAGGGCCGGCCAGAACTACGGAGGCTACAACTCCCAGGCTAACGAAGGCTCCAGCTCGCAGACTAACGGAGGTCTCTCCCAGTCCAACGGAGGCTATTACTCCCAGACAAACGAAGGCTCTGGCGCTCCTTCCACCGGTGGCTACAGCTCTTCCACCGGCCTCTACAGCTCCCAGTCGAGCGGAGGCGGTGGCCGGCGGTCGGCCGCTCGCTACACTCCCCGGTACGGCGGCACCCTCAGCGCGCGCGGCTCGGCGCTGGCCCGGGCGCGGCCGGAGCCGACGCCGGCGCCGCAGCCGTACTCGTTCAGCTACGACGTGCTGGACGTGTTCGGTAACGACTACGGCGCGGCCGAGGCGTCCAACGGCGAGCAGGTGCAGGGCCAGTACAGCGTGCTGCTGCCCGACGGCCGGCTGCAGACCGTCTCCTACGCCGTGGACGGAGACTCGGGCTTCGTGGCCGACGTGCAGTACGAGGGCGAGGCGCGCTTCCCGGACGCCTCCGGAGGGGAGCAGGGCCGCGGATCCGTCACCTCCGGCGCCGGACCGGACGCGTCCTACCGGTACGGACGGAACTAGTGCTTTAGAATGACGTACTTCTTCGATGAATCGTCTTACTGTCAAATCAAACTGTGCCTCATGATTGGGTTGTGGCTATTTAACTAGCTCTGTCGGCAAAGTCGTGATCTGTCCAAATATGTCGTCGGGAAATTAAATATTTAATACATGCTGAAAAATATTGAATGTGTAAACAAAACAAATAACATACTTGCAATTTTAAACGAGTGGATATTTACATACGTCATCCATCAGATTGTGATGACTATTGACTAGTGACTAGGAAACTGAAATTTCCCACAATAATAAACAACACGACAATGAGTGGACACGGCAATCGAAGATAAATTTTGGTTAGGTATCATTCTCTAAATATGTGGTGATTATTGCGACCGCATTGCAATTTGCTAGTCCTCTCGATGAATTGTAGTCTTTCTGAATCCTCCAGCTTTTTTCCAAGGTAAGACCGGCATAATGTCATGCTCAGCCGTACCTGGCTAAGGAGTCGTTTGGTACACGAACACACCGTTGTACACCATTCATACACCGTTTAGCACCGTACATAGGGTGAATAGGTCAAAAACGCCCCCAGTAAGCGCGAAACCTTCTGACACTCAACCCAACACAGATTACTCAAACCTTTGGGCACCATCATGTAGCTCATTCTTTTTACTACGCTTTGAGACCAAAAAAAGACACCTGCGTGTGGTAGTTAACCCCCCAAAAAGGTTTTCGCATACCCTTACAAAAGGGCGTTTTGCCCCATACCCTGGGTAATACGCCCACACCCATGTGCAAAGCGCCCCCACCCCATCCATCAACAGAAAATGATAAACATGGCAGAACTTGACGTCATTCTGACGTCATTTGTGGTCAACCTATCATAGCCTTTGGAATAAAATTGTGTTGCAATGTGTAAAATGGATGCCCGGAGGAGCCCTGAAAGTTTGGTGACAATATCTGCAGTCGTTTAGGATATATCAGCAAAAAAGGACAGGGAGAGGCCTTTTCGGCACCCACCTACAGGGCGCTACCCTGCACTCTCACCACCGTGCAAAACGCCCCCCTTTCAGAAAACTGGGGGCGTCTTGCCCCATGCATCGAGTAGGCGTCTTTCCCCATCCACTCCATTTCCGGTCAACAAAATATTGACAAAAAACGCGCCACTAACGCCGCAGCATAATAAATTCACCAGAATGGCAATAAAACGCAGTTTTTAGTGATGTGCACAATAGCAAGTTTTGTGATATAAAGAGGGCATCAAAATCTTAGGAATCTTCTGTAAAAACAACAAAAATAACACCCAAAACCAACATCAGCACCTACCCACGCTGCTCCTCAAGACGCAGAACCGGAAATAGGGACCTACGTAAACAAGCAGCTGACTGTTCTGAAAGACAGGATAAAACACCTATCCGTCGATAAGAAATACGATTTTTTTAGGGGAGGCGTTTAACCCAGGGGTGCGTTTTCCCCACAGTTACCCTACATACAGGGCCAAACCCATCTCTCGATCACCAACACAGATCTCAGTCCATTTGGCCCACGCACCTGGTTCTCACACACGAGCGCCCTGCTCCATATAATACAGACCAGGCACTAGTGCGCCATGTGGGCTCAACCGTGACTCGTGGTCGTGAGAACCCTCGCCCGTGACCTTGCCGGGGGCGGGCGGCGCCTGGGCGTCGCTGGACGCTTGGCGCGGCCGGTGCAGTCGCCGCCGAGCGGCCGGGTTCGGTCAGGAGGGTCACTCACCCTCCGCGAACCCGGTACGGCCGGAGGCTGCGGACGGCGAGATCTGCTCTGCAGAGAGCAGGAGAGTCAGTCTGCAGTCTGACGGACGGGCGGCACTCCCTGTGAGCGAGGGGTTAGGACGACAGAGGCAGGTGTGTGAGGGAAACGGACCGGAACCCTGCTCCGCCAGGTGAGTTGGCTGGTGGCGTCGTGGCGACGCTGGAGGAAGATTTATTAATTTTTATTAAAACGTGTTTCTTATCATAACATAATTACTTTTGATGTTTATGCCAGGGGTGGCCATTTTTAGTGTGTGCCGGTAGAAGAGGTTTTGCAATGCCCGCTACTTTGGCACGGCAATCTTCACTTACGCAATGCATTGCAAAGGCAAATTAATTTTGCAAGGACTCATTTAATTTAAATAACATAGGTACTTCTAAAACATTTTTGTAAAGATCCCGGAGCGACCTTTGAGCGGTAACTGACGACCCACTCTACTCTCTCTCTCTCTCTCTCTCTCTCTCTCTCTCTCTCTCTCTCTCTCTCTCTCTCTCTCTCTCTCTCTCTCTCTCTCTCTCTCTCTCTCTCTCTCTCTCTCTCTCTCTCTCTCTCTCTCTCTCTCTCTCTCTCTCTCTCTCTCTCTCTCCCTCTCCCTCTCCCTCTCTCTCTCTCTCTCTTTCTCTCCCCTCTCTCCATCAGCCGTGACCTGTCATGTTCATCACTCCTGGGTACGGACGGTGGCGGTGTGCGGTGGGGGCGGCCGTCACCGTCTGCCTCGTGGTCATCGCTCTCCTCGTCTCGGGAGTCATAGTGCTGCCGTTCAAAACAAATCGTGAGTGGAAAGCGACATCTAACATTGGGGACCTGACTCGTGCTTGTTTCATAGAACGATCACTTGCAACACGGCCCATAAGACTGTTTGGACTTTACATATTGTCCTGTCATTTAATATAAACGTTGTTTTCTTCCGGCCGTGGTTCCACCGTATCTTCACTACCTTCTATAAATGCGTAAAACGGTCCTCGACACTTTTACATTACGGATAATTCATATTTATACGATATTCTGAAGATGACTTTCCCCATTCTGGAAACTTACTAAATAGTGTTAAATACCTAATGGTTTGTTGAATAATCTCTCAACTACTTCAGTCTTATTACGTTCGCCACCCCCTCACTCTCTGCCTCGGTTCCAGACGAGACGGACCCATCTCAATGGATGGCGGAGGACCTGAGCTCTCAGCCTCAGCCCGGCTGTGACTGTGTGTGGCGCGTGGGCTGCGTCCAGTACCGCTGGCAGGTGAACCTGACGGACGCCTGGCACGGCTGTGGAATCGAGCAGCTCAGCGACAGGCGAGTGAGGGCCTGATGTGGCCGAAATCAGAGGAATTTACATGATACAGACCCTTTAACCCTGGATGGCAGGCTAAAACTAAAGAACTATCACTGAAGAGCATATAACGACTAGATGCCGGCAGCGCTCGTGCGTTGCCTTGGGCCAGAATTGGAGGATCCATAGCCCAATGAAATGTGCACTATTTTGGAGGCCTTGCCTGGGACTACCATTGAACCGATTTTGAGGTCGATAGCTCAAGATTTCTTTGAGCCAGAGGACCTCACGTCAAAACGGTTTTCCGCCCCCAGCACGTGCAGCCTGCACCCCTCGCAGACGGTGACCCCCCTGGAAACTGGTTCAAGGTGTTACCGATGTGTCCCGCCAGTGTGGCTTTGCCCGTGGCCTCGGGTTGACCTGTAGCCTTGACAAAAAATTTCGTGTCACCGAAACTTTGAAGCGGAATAGCATGTGCCACGAAGCACCGAGCGAACCGAGGCCAGCACCAAAAGTTTACCTCGCCGGAGACGAGTCGAACGGTCCCACTTTCGTCCCGATCGGTCCACCCATTTTGACTCCAGGTCCAAAAATGCTTGGACAAACTCACTCACATACTCACATACTCACTCACATACTGACAAACAGGCTTGGCCGAACTTTTCTTCAGCGACCCACCAATGGGAATTTCCGGATGCAAAAGCATGCTATCGCATGCTTTTGATCCTCCAATTCTGGATAACTACGACCGTAAACAAACTGACCTTCATCCGTCTCTTTATTGTTATGCAAAAAAAAAAAACAACAACCACCAAATGACGCTTCTTATGGAGCTCTTTTATACCTCTCTATTAATTTCCAGTATAACCAGGCGTGAACAAGCGTGACCTGACTTTGACCTCTTCATTCCAGCACACTATCTCAGTGTCTGTCCCTGCGGCGACAGCAGCGGGGTCGCAGTTTACGTCTGAGGGTGGTGGGCCACGTACGGGAGGCGTTTTTTCGCCGACTACCTGCGCCAGCGACTGGGCGCCGCTCCCGCACAGGAGGGGTGCCGCCTTGTCAGCACCGGTCCCGGAGAGAAGGTGTTGGGGAAGGAGGAAGACAACCAGGTGGTGACCAAGGATGGAGGTCAGACGTGCGTCAACGTCTACCAGACGAACGACATACGGCTGGTGAGACGGGACGGAGGGTGTGAAGTGCGAACCGATGGGCAAACGAACGCAAGAGGGTGGGATAATGTCCGTGGTGACTGAGACATAACGAGTGCTGATGTATAAGCATCGATACAAACTGTGACACAGCCGACACTGCTGACTTGACCTTATTTCCAGGAGTACAAACTGCTGGGTCTGATGAGCGAGGACATCTTCAACTACGTGGGCCACCTGAAGCAGGAGTGTGAGACACACGGGTGTGAGGCGGACCTTCTGATCATCTCCGGAGGCGCATCGGAGCTCCTCAACTCCACGTTCCTGGAGAGCTTCGAGGGCGTCAGGTGAGATGTGCTTATTCATGTAAATGGTTCGATGAAAGCACACAGTTTACAGTTAAATATCAATTTGTCTCAAGAATGAAATAAATTTTCCCCTAAATAAATCGAGATAAATTTGTCTGGAGTAATACACAAAACTGTACTTAATGTTATAATCGTAGAATTAGCGGCGTTTTGAAGGCAGTTCCATGGACTCTACTCACAAATGTCACCACTCTTCATTGTGCTGACTGCTGACGTTTGGACGTTCTCCTCCTGACAGGCGGTTCCAGCGCCACTTTAAGCGTCTGCTGCCGCTGCTGTTTGAGCTGGTCACCGGCCACGGAATGCAGGTGGTGTGGAAGGTGCACGAGCCGGTCACAGACGAGCTCATCGCTGACACGTCCATGGTGCGCAACGACCTGCTGCAGGAGTACAACGCACTCATCATGGAACAGACGTGAGTATAACGCACTCATCATGGAACAGACGTGAGTACAACGACCTGCTGCAGGAGTATAACGCACTCATCATGGAGCAGACGTGAGTATAACGCACTCATCATGGAGCAGACGTGAGTATAACGCACTCATCATGGAACAGGCGTGAGTATAGAGCACTCATCATGGAGCAGACGTGAGTATAACGCACTCATCATGGAACAGACGTGAGTAAAACGATCTGCTGCAGGAGTATAACGCGCTCATTATGGAACAGACGTGAGTACAACGACCTGCTGCAGGAGTATGAGTTCATCAAGCAACAGACGTGAGTACACCGCGCTCATCATGGAACAGGCGTGAGTAAAATGCACTCATCATGGAACAGGCGTGAGTAAAATGCACTCATTACGGAACAGACGTGAGTATAACGCGCTCATCATGGAACAGACGTGAGTATAACACACTCATCATGGAACAGACGTGAGTACAACGACCTGCTGCAGGAGTATAACGCACTCATCATGGAACAGACGTAAGCATAACGCACTCATCATGGAACAGACGTGAGTATAACGCGCTCATCATGGAACAAACGCGAGTAAAACACGCTCATGACGCAGACGTGAGTACTGCGCACTCATCATGGAACAGACGTAAGCACAACACGCTAATTATGGCACAGACGTGAGTACAACACGCTAATTATGGCATAGGCGTGAGTATAACGCGCTCACCATGCAATAGACGTGAGTTTAGCCGACAACGACCTCAGCATTCAACAGTCTTTGACTTTTGAACACTGTATGCCATTCAGGCGCTGATAATGTTTTGCGCGCTTTTTTGCCACACTGATTCTGCCACAGTTTTAGACGAGCAGTAAAAAGTCAAGCTCACAAAGCATCCATGCCTCGGTCCCATGCATTATGGATGGCGGTAGCATGGGCATTGACCCCTAAAAAGCTGCGCATCTTTGAGACGCCTATTTATTATTCGCAACCGCAAGGAGACTTTGAGCTGAGGGCACTACGACTTTTGTGTGTATGACTGTAGAGCATCCGGTTACTTGTTACGAATATTTAGGATATAGGCATATGACGTTTGCCTACTTATCTGGAGACTTCGTAAGATGGGCACTGATCAGTGCTCGGTAGGCTCTTTGAACTGCGTGACGCGCAGTGTCGACCGCTAATGTGCCGTCCTCTGTATTGAACTTTATCTCAAATAGTCACGCCCGTCGTAATACGCTCGGCGCTTCGCGTTTGGCCGTCCCGTACTAATGGTGAAATCAGTCGCCAACATTTTCTAGGCTCTGCTCGTCTATTAGCTCTGTTCCGTGTGCTACTGCTGTATCGTGCTCACGCTGCACATGCCATGACTGGCAGGATCCGCTCGCCTTTTCGCATCTTCCAGCGCTGTCCCGTGTTCTGTATCATGCTGACACCGCTGACACTACCGTCAGGATCCGCTCTCCTCTGCGTGTCTGGACCTCTCACATGCTAATGAAGCTGCGTCACATCGAGGACTGCGCCGGTCTCAAGGACACGGACCAGTTGAACTCTGCCGACTGGCGCTGTGAGGAGGAGTGGGTGGCCGGAGACCGCGCACACCGCGAGTACGCTGACGCCCTCTTCAACAGCGTCTGCCACAACGTGGTGCGCATGCCGGAGAACCCCTGCTGTAGCGCCTGAGACGGACAGGGGGGGGGGGGGGGGAACGTGGGAAGACCCTCCCCGGGAGGGTGAGGGTGGAAGGGCTGGAGAGGTGAAGATACTCATGGGGAGATATTAATGTGCAGATGTGGAGATGTGATCTTTCATCATTGTGACAACTGACGAAAACAGCCAACAGGCATGTGAAAGAAATGAGTGGGCATTAAATCAAATTGTCTGGAGATAAGCTTTGTTTACGAGTGACGAGCTAGCGTTGGAAGTGTTAACCACCGTATCCACGGTCGACAACAAAAACAGTCACAATCGTTCGTAAATTATATTTATTTGTGCAAATACGAAAACGCATTTTGTACACGGTAAGGATCAGGCGATTCGTAGAGACACGTGAAAAAACTACAATATGCATAAGTAACAGTAAATTTAGGTACTTGCATGCCTACAACACATACGACATTTTAAGGGCATCGTGGATATTTGGATGATGTGAGTGTTCTGCCGAGCTTTCTGTGCCGCTGTTCATGTTGTACAGGCAGTCACTGTCATCTGGGGTCTTTCCGGACAGGTGGAAGGAGGCGAATATTGTTCCCATACATAAAAAAGGATCAACAAAAGTGGCGGCAAACTATCGTTCGATTTCACTTCTACCGTTGTTTGGTAAGGTTTTGGAGAGGATAGTGTATGAGTCACTGTATGCGCACGTTCGCGGTGTTCTGTCTGAGAAACAGCACGGCTTTATCGAACATCGTAGTTGCGAAAGTAACCTATGTCACATTGTCCGTGCAGGCTGGCAGGCAATCTCAAACGGTAACCAGCTTGATTGCATATACACCGACTTCTCTGCCGCCTTCCAAAGTGTTGACCACCGTCTATTGTTACACAAGCTGCACAAATCATACGATATCAACGGCCCTGCTCTTGCACTACTAGGCTCGTTTTTAGAAAACCGTAAACAGCGGGTGGTGTTAGACGGTCAAACGTCTGCTTGGACTCCGGTGATTTCGGGCACGCCGGAGGGTAGCCTGATTTCTCCCCTCTTGTTCATTGCATTTATTAATGATTTGCCATCGTATGTTCACTCAGAATGCCTGATGTACGCTGACGATGTGAAGATTTACCGGGAGGTACGCACAGATGCAGATGCCGTGCTGTTATATGACGATCTCACCCGCCTAGTAGAATGGTCGTCATCCTGGAGATTAAAACTAAATGCGTCAAAGTGCAAGTCATTTACCATCACTCTCAAACGGTCACCCATCATCAGCCCCTATAGAATAGGTGGAGTGACGTTAGATCGCGTCACCACTATGCGCGATCTGGGAGTTACTCTGGACCAGAAACTCACCTTCGAGCGGCATGTTGATTCGATTGTCGCGGCGGGCAATAGAGCACTCGGCTTGTTGATTCGGTCACTCCAAGCCGGAGCGAGAATTAGGTATGACACTGGCGCTATCACCTCAGCATACTTCGCCAATGTACGTTCGGTTCTCGAGAACTGCAGTGTTGTGTGGGGCGGAGCGGCGAGAACACATACGGATCGCATAGAACGAATCCAGCATAAATTCCTTATTTGGCTTACAGTTAACTCTGTCACCAACTCGGATTCTCTCTCTTACGAAAATCTTCTTTCGGCACATTCTTTCACTTCTCTGGCAGCACGACGGGTGCAACATGACTTGGTTTATGTAGCTCGTCTTTTCAAGCACAAAATTGACTCCAGTTCCCTGCGATCTCATTTTGGCCTCGCCGTCCCGCCTCGATCAGTTCGCCGCCGTGATCTGCTCGCCGTGCCGTTCGCCAGAGTCGAAACCATCAAGAATGGGCTCTATTGTAGGGTGCCGAGGCTCGCAAATGAATTTCTGCGTGAAAACAACCAGCTAGACCTGTTAACGGACTCCTTAGCCACAGTGAGGAAAACAGCTAAGTCTTACGCTGCTCAGCTATCCTCCCGCGCCTTTCCCACAGACCAATGATGTTGCCGTGTGTCGCAAGATTGCGGTCTGTTTTGTATCATTTATTGTATACCTTTATTACGTGTTTGTATGATCAGTGTGCCTATGCCTATGTGACTTTACCCGTAAATGGGCTTTTCCCGTGGGTGATACTGTGAATAAATGAAAATGAAAATGAAATGATGCATTTTTGCGCAAGCGTGGCCTTTAGTTAGAGTGTCTGTGAAATTAAATGACGATTTAAATAAGTTCGTTCCTTTAACTGATTCAAGCCATCTTCAAAGTGCCAACTTATTCTTGCTGCAGTACAATACACTAAAACCGTCTATCGTGAGCACAAATTAAGAGATGAAGAACGACCCGCAGCGCTACCTAAACGGGAAATTTAAAGTCATCACTACAAACAATGCGCAAACGTTTTGTTCAATTAAACGGTGCTGTGCTGAATACGAGACAGATAAACGCTCCTTTTAGTAACAATGTAGGTATCCTTAGCAGCCTCAATGATGCGCTTTATACCGAAAAGCGCGACAAGGCCACAAGGCACGTAATCAAAGCACGACTGGTGCGTAATCCGCATGACTGGTATTACAGAATCAGCATTCATTTAAGGAAGTAAACCCTAATATTCACATACATATGTTACGGGTCATATGTATGTTACACATTACACGCGTCACGCACAAATTCAAGCAGCGATCAACAGGCGTACGATTACAATGGCAAGGAAAACATAATGGCGTTGTGCAAAAAAGCACTTTGCCTGAGTGAAACGGTTTCATGAGAAATTACACCCTTGAGATCTATAATTGTTTTGGAGCCTTAGACTTGAACTCTCATAGACTAGGACGACTTGTAGGCACACGAGTGTTTACCACTCATTCGAATAACACGCTTGACTAGAGGATTGTTCAGAAGAAAATTATTGCACCGTTAAAATTCTGCGCTGGTTTTCGGACACACAAGAGCTTCACGTGCAGGTACGTTTCTCCATATAATCGCCACTTCGTAGGCCAGCCGCGTCCCTTGTACTTACGTACCACAGTCCTCCAATGCCCTAATAAACACGACACCACTAGGAAACTTCGGACGAGACAATAAAGCGCCCTTAGCATTGCCGCACGATGGTACGTCGGGTCCTCTCGCCAACATCAGTGGAAACTTAATTGTTCTTTCCTTTCTATGCATTTCAATGTAGCAGTCTTACTTCGAAATGCAAGCCTTTGAGGCCTGCATCACACAGGTCAATGCAAATTATAATGTTATTCATACTCCGGTAGCTTCGCCTCTCCCTTCGGAATCAAGTCGGCAGGGCGTCGGTCAGCGCCGTAACGCCACAAACTTGAGCCTTTTCTGCTTCTGGCGCTGGTTGCAGAACCACACACGCACCACATTCTTCTTCAGGTCGAGTTTCTCGGCGATGGCGGCGATTTTCTCGCCGCTGGGCCGCGGCTGCACGCTAAAGTACGCCTCCAGCGAGCGTTTCTCGGCGGCGGCGATGGAGGTGCGCTTCCTCTTCTTGTCGTCGCCGGGCAGCACGGACGGCGCGGCCGGGTCGGCGCGGCGGTCGCGCGCCTGCGCCTCCGCCTCCTCCAGCCAGGCGTGCAGCACGGGCCGCAGCGCCAGCATGTTGTTGTGGCTGAGCGTCAGAGACTCGAACCGGCAGATGGTCGACTGGGAGAGTGCCCCGACGCCCGGCAGCCGGAGCGCGCCCAGCGCGCGGCCCACGTCGGCCTGGGTCACCCCCAATTTGATGCGCCGCTGCTTGAAGCGTTCGGAGAAGGCCTCCAGCTCGCGCGGGTCGGCGTCGGCGGAGTCAGCGGGGACGACCGACAGCGGAGGGTGCAGCGGCAGGCCGAACATCGCCGCGGAGGTGTGCGGGGGCGGGGGCGGCGGCCGGCTGTCCACGGCCGGAGCTGTCAGCGCCGTCAGCGACCCGGCGCTGGCAGAGGACGCACACAGCGGCTCGAGCAGCTCCAGACTCTCCATTCCGTCAGCCGAACACGACTGGAAACAGACAGTTGCGAACCGGTTAGATTAGACTCACGGTGCACGCAGGACAATTAATGCATGCAGTAGGTGCATAAAAAGGGCACAGCAAATATCGATCGAGCGGGTACAATAACCGCAATTCGCCTCACACACATGAAGCAAGGTGAAGACACCACAGCACTCAGAGATATGCTTTGTTTTGAGCAGCAACACAGCACATCATTTTCGTGACACGGAGTCTTTTCCAGCGGACAACGGTCGTTTACCAACAAGGTGGCGACACGGCCTGCCAACCTGGACGGACGAGCAAACAACGTGTCTTCAATCCAATCCCCCGGCCGGCCTGGCGATAACAGAGCCATTCCACGGCAAACGCACCCATTCCAGTGCCATAAACAGGTACCAATTTTAGGGAGTGAAGGCGACTATTATAGCACCATCTACGCTGAAATATTTCTCATTCCTTTTGAAGTATGCTCGTTTTGTACGGAATATGCCCAAAAACCTCCGGTCCCGTATAGATCCGGCCTCAAACTATGGGCATGAAGCGGGAATTATTTCGACAACGTTTTCAGTCCTGGTGCCATCGAAATGGAACTATAGGAGCTGTCTGAGAATATTATAAATACAATAGAGAATAGTTCAAGAAAAGAATATACCTAGGTAAGCCGCAGGTAGGTATAGCCTATAGGATTCATTTCAACTCCAGGCAGTCATGTAGGTATAACGTCTTGAAATGGGCGATACGTTACCCCATGGATGGTGCCTTACTACAACATCTAGGCTCATGTGTCGGACCATTCCGCACTGGGGACGCACATTCCGCACTGGTTTGGCACATTACCTGGTGTTTGACGGCCGTCTGTGGCTGCGGAGTGAGGGGCGCCGGCCGGTGCTGAGGCGGGGGCGCCGGCCGGTGCTGCTGCGGCACCGGGGGCGCCGGCGGGGGCGCCCCGCCGTACACCATGTCCCACACGGCGGGCGGCAGCGAGGTGGGAGGGCTGTGCGGCGCCGCCATGGACGGGTGCGCCGCGCCGTACCCCAGCTGCTCGGCCGGTGGCGGAGCCACGCCGTGACGACCCATGTCGGCCAGCGCGCCAGCCCGGCCCAGCAGGGCGTCATTCAGACCGCCCAGCAGAGGTCCCTGCCGACAGAGAGGGTAAGGGCAGGTCGGGTCAGGTCAAGTCAGCTCAGCCCAGCAGTAAGCCATTCAGACCGTCCAGCAGAGGTCCCTGCCGGCAGGTCAAGTCAGGTTGGGTCAAGTCAGGTCAGGTCAGGTCGGTGGTCCCTTACCATGGGCTCCGCCACCGGGGGGGGGGGGGGGACGGGGGGACTTGTCCCCCCACCCCAATATTTTACATTTTTAACATTATGCCTACGGGTGCTGCATGGAAAGAATCGATTTCAAACGGCTTTGCCCCCCCCCCCCCCCCAACCATCGGGTCGAGACGGAGCCCTCGTCCCTAACGAGTGCCTACCGGGGGCGGTCACCGTTCACTATTCACTGGTCACTGTTGACTGGTCACTGTTCACTATTCACTGGTCACTGGTCACTGGTCACTGGTCACTGGTCACTGGTCATCAGTGGTCAGTGGTCGCTGGTCAGTGGTCACTGGTCACTGGTCAGTGGTCAGGTCAGGGGTGATGTGTTTTCGGTCCGGCCCGACAGCAGGAATGACAACCATTAGCAAACGCGAACAAATATGGGATCGAAGCTCGAATCGTTGATTGTCGATTGAACCATATCCAATGCATGGCCGATGCATGCCTGCCTATCAGAAGAGTGAATGAAAATCCGAGTAACTGGAATTCGTCTGATATGATCGAAAAATGATTCGTCCGAGGACACACCCCACACTACGCCGCTTACGCGACCAGCGCATTGTGTGTCTCCGGCAGAATCGGTCACTGTGTACCGTTAGAAGGAAGACTACTTGCCTATAAACTGGTTACCGTAATTCACTTCACATGTACGTAACAAATGCATTGTGATCATAAGCCACTGTTCATGCTTTAAACTGCGTGTACGCTATGATACAACCAAGATTATCATTGAACGTTGCATTGACTTGGTTTTGTTATACAAAATTTTCCTTTTGAACAGCGGAGTTGTAAGTTATTTGGAAATTCTGGTCTCAGTGAGAGGGGTAGCGACGCGCCCGGTCGTGGCCCTCTGACGGTGCAGAGCGAGACTACCATGCACTGCACGGTGCAGGTGCATTGTGCAATGTCAGCATGGCTGGGCTGGCAGCCGGCAGGTGTCATGACTGTAGCGGCGCCAGCGTCCCGAACGGGTTTACGGAGCGGCTCTCGCCTTCCAATCAACTCGGCGTAGCCGGCCCGAACAAAGGGGGTCAGCTCAGCCCCAAGGTGGACAGTTGCCCAATCCACCCACTTTTCCAGAATCAGTTCCTATGAGGGGATCCATATTTTGTCCTTTAACCCTTCCACTTCTCGACCGAAACCCTCTCATCATTTCGGGTGGATTCTTGGACCGAAGGGCGGCCAAACACGCGGTGACTCGGTGACTGCGCACAAGGCAAAGGACCAGTCAGTGCCCTGGCACCTAGGCGAATGTTGCTTGAATTGATTTATCAATAAATCGATAATGACAAAAAAAGGAACGAGAAAATAGCTGTAGTTTAAATGCATTGAAACGTTTGCCATTATTTGATTCATTTATGAATTTTCGCCGCAGCAGCACACTGGCTCATGCCGCGATTGGAAACAGATACCAACCGGATACAGCATCATATCCTAGATATTGATATAGAATACTTCTTTCATCAACATTCCACAATTTCATGCGTCTTTTTATTCTCGACTCTCGAGCGAGGAGCACATTCATTTACCCGCTACATTGTGCATTTCCCAATAAATGAAGATATAGAGGATTCTTCATGGCTCCGAGTGGAAGATAAGGATATCTTTTCCAAGCGGGTTACTGAAAAACCGAGCGACGAAGGAGCGAGGTTTTTCTGTAACACGCGAGGAAGAGATATCCGATCTTCCACGAGTGAGCCATGAGGAATCCTATATCTTTCTATGTTGAGGTTTATTCTTAATTAATAAAATATTATATTTAAATGCATTCATCTATATAAAAGTAGATTCAGAGTAGTTCTTATTTCATAAGTTTCATCCATAAACAACCATTAAAAATGTCGTTCGGTTATTGACCCATCATCACATGAGCTCTTGATTTTTCGCTATGAACCCTCGAGACCTTATCTTTGCATCTCAGAGGGATGCAGATATACCTAACAAATTCTTATCTTTGCATCTCAGAGGAGTGCGAGATAGAAATAACCCTGCACTGTAGACCCAATGGCAAATAAACCTCAACTAGAAAGAATTATCTTTCAACTAGAAAGATAAGCTGTGATTAGATGGTGTGCATTTTCAGGCAAACTTGCACTTGATGTTACGGAAATATTATGGTCTAGAAACCCGGTTATACAAACAATCATTGCATATTTGCCAGGGCCTCCTCTAACATACCCACTGGGTGGGCAAATGCCCACCCAGTCGCCACAATTGCCCACCCAGTGGCGTCGATTTGCCCACCCAGAAGCAAATGCAAAAATAAAGGTCCGGCCGGACGTCCGGTACTACCTTTCCGGTCTTAAGCAAACTGGATGCTGTTTGAAGGTCAAAAAAAGTTTTCTGGTTGCTCGATATTCAGGAGCGTAGCCAGGATTTCCTCAAGGAGGGGGCTAAACGCACAAGGGCGCAAGATAACCCCCTCAAAATCCAAAAAGCCATCGGGTTGCATCCAATATTTTTTGGATGGGGCCCAAATAAATGGAAAAAATATTCATTAACAAACAGTGTTACAACTGAGGGGGTAAGCAGTATATAGGCCCCTGTTAGACAGGCCCACGAATAGCTTCATAGAGTCGCCAGCCGGTTCTGATGGCGGTCTGAGGACCCGTAGGTCGGATGAGGGTTCTTCAGACCGTCACAGGCCCATGAGAGCCTCGTAAGCCGTCTGAGGGTCATATAAGCCGTCTAGGGCCACTCAGACCGACAAAAGGCCCCTTGCACTTGCAGAGGCCCAGTCAGGCCGTCGTAGGGCCCTCTCAGACAAACTAAGGGCCCGTTCAGGTCATTTGAGGGCCTCCTCAAACCGATAAGGGCCCCTCAAATCGACAGTGGATCCGATCCGAGCTCCCTCAAACCGATATAGGGTCAGACCAACAGTCGGAACGCATTGATTCTGTTTACACACCGTTGGACCCAAGTTGGACCCATGCCATCCAACTGGCTCCCTGGTTTCAATAGGGCCCCAAGGCTCTAAAATTGGGTCTCTCTTGGCCAAAGAATAACTACTCAGCTGTGTCAAAGGATCTGCCTCAGGGCCTTTGCGTCGCCAAGGGCCCACTGTGTCAGTCAGGGGCCCCTATGGAATAAGGACCCCTGGCTTCCAGGAGGGGCCATGGTCCCTTTGGCCCCCTCCTTGGCTATGCCACTGCAGGTGACAAACGTTCTTTCAGACGACCAGGGGGCAGGGGCCCAGGCGACCAGAACCCCAGGTGACCAGGGGCCCCCAGGCGACTAGCTCCCCCCAAGCGACCAGGGGCCCCCTGGGCGACCAGAGGCCCCAGGAAACCGGGGGTCCTCGGATGAGTGCAGGGGCCCATTGGGTAATCAGGGGCACCTCGGGTAACCAGGGCCACAGAAATGAAACTTGAATTGATATAAATTTGCTTCCGAGTAAAATACGTTTTATCCAGTGTTAGAAAAAATATCCCGGGGCCTGTGGGGCCCCCATGGCGCCTTCTGCGCTCAAGGGAGGGGGCCATTGCCCCCGTGGCCCCTCCCCTTCGCAACGCCCCTGCCGATATTGGAGTTATCAAGTAATTGTCTCGTAAGTGAAAAGGCACGTACAATAAAGGTACAACCCTCTGCAAGCTGCGTGGTAGGTATTTTTTTTCGACAAAACCGAGAATAACGCGAATACGCTAACGGTCATTCGGAAATCGTAACAGCAAGACGCGCGAGACTCCGCACCTTAGATTGGGCTTATTTTGATATACATTTTCCATCTAGTTTGACAACAACACACAAAAGCTTATATTTCCCCCCAAATCAAACTTTTGCTTTTTTGCTACGGTAAGAGTACACATTGTTCAGTGACTGAATTAATCGAAGGGGTGGAGCATGGCGCATCTATATGCAATGTGTTCCGACCGACTGATAATCATAACCTTTGAGATATTAGGTATCGGTTTTGTCGAAATAAGAATACCTACCACGCAGTTTTTGCGGAGGGCTGCAAGTACAGCCCTCTGCAGACTGCGTGGTAGGTATCCTTTTTTTCGACAAAACCGAGAATAACGCGAATACTATGCTATCGGGCACTCGGAAATCGTAACAGAAAGATGCGCGAGACTCCGCAGCTTAGATTGGCATTATCATCGTATGCATTTTCCATCCAGTTTGGCAACAAAACCCAAAAGTTTATATTTGCCCCCAAAACGAACTTAAACATTTTGTTGCCACACAAGGCGTAGGTATGCTTTGTTTATTGATAGGCCCTATCGAAGGAGTGGAACATGGCACATCTATTTGCAGTGAGCTTCGACCGACTGATAACATGACTTTTGAATTATAATCAGTTTTGTCGGAAAAAGAATACCTACCACGCAGTCTGCTGAGGGCTGTACATGTAATCTGGAACGAATCGCTCGAGCATCGCTAACCATAAAACATACGACAAACGTTAACTATCATCTTATTTCCAATAATGGCACAGCTTATTTCGTCTCATCCCCGCACCCCCCCCCCCCCCCGGTAACAGGTTTTGAAATTGGTTGAACCCCAAAACAAGTGGCTGGATCCGCCCTTGGGCGGGGAAGTGGCGAAAATTTTGCCCACCCAGTGAAAAATCCTTAGAGGAGGCCCTGATATTTGCCGGGGGAATCGACGCCTTCCGGCATATCGCTCTCCCCTCCTCGGACGTAAATCGATGTGATCTGATTGGCCCGAGGCGCTCGAGACGCCGGCTGCTATTGGTGGAGGCGAGATAGTGGGCGGGGCCACGTCGGAGGACAGATGAGAGGCGGAGGAGGTCTGGCGAGATCCGTGGGAAACCGGTGGGAACGGACGGTTAGATCTCCGTGTGGCGTGTATTCATAATTGCATCGAGCTTTTGGTGACATCCCATGCAAAACCAGCATAGATCAAACATTTTGCGTATTTCTTTGCAGTTTGATAGAATTCGTTATTGTTATAGCCTGTTGAACCTAGGCATTCTGTGAATATTTAATGCCGAATCGCGAAGATGAGTTGTTATATGGTTGCTAAATATATAATTCGAGCTCACCATTATCAGCTTCAGGACAGCATGAATATTCATGCTGCTGTATTATCTGTAATTAAAACATTCGACATTGGACACTGGACAGCCACGACTGAAATAATGGGCGAAGGATCGGGAACGTGACCCCAACACAATTAAAGCATCCATAAAACATACTTCACACGAGGTCATAGAGTTGCTTTATGTAGCAGATTTACCTTAGATATTGAGTCAGCCATTGAGTCAGTAAGAGCCACGCTCAAAACTATTTTTGCGCATGAGAAACAGCCATGTGATAATCCAAACAAAAGGCACGACAAGACCCGTCCATGAGAACAAAGCGAACAACTCGCTGCGCGAGCGCCCGTCCTTATCCGCGTCTCACCGTGTGATCGAGCAGGCCGCGCCGACCCGTCTCGTGGTGTCGGTAGCTCGGCGGCGGGCTGTAGTGGCCCGAGAAGCAGGCGGTGTATCCGCCGCCCGGGGCGCGCTCGCCGCTTCCGCCGTACATCCGGCACGGCGACTCGGAGGCGAGCATCGCCGTCACTGTCCTCACACACTTGTCACTGTCCACAGCACGACAAACGCGGCACTGAACGAATAATCCGCCACTGGGTCAGCCACTGAGGCGCCGGGGCTAGTAGCGATCAGTCTTCCTTAACTCACAGTATCGCAGCTTCGCAGCTCCAGAGACGGCTTGGTATACCACGTGATGCTCCGGTGAATCAGCCAGCCGGAGCAAAGTTCCAGTACAGAATCGTTATCAGGGATGCCTCTCGATTTTCATTCACTCGGAACTCCTATAGGCTCCATTAGTCCGAACCTCTTCGTTTTGAATCGCCCGTGAAATTTGTGTGCTGGAAACGCTTTAGAGACGATTCTAAACCAGAATGTAAGTCGGACGAAAACACTAGAGCCAAAAAGCTCCGTCTCCTGTCCACACTACGATCAGGTGCCACCTCCCGGCAGTCCGGCCGTCACCCTCACGCACGAGCGCTGACCACCGACTGAGCCGGGGGGTGCGGTCCACTAGCCCACCTGTCCGTCCCCCTGGACCGGCCGTCCCGCTGGCCAGTGAGCAGGTGGGCCGCACGGGCCCTGTCACCGCCGACCGCCGACGCAGCCGACAGTCCACCGACAGCTACCCCCGCCGCTACCGACACTGTCACCGATTCCACCGCCGCTGCCCCAGCTACGGCCCGCGGCCGGCGGCGCACGCGCCAGCGGCGTCCATTTTGGCGTGCGGTGAGCGGAGGACGGATTGTCGGCGGCGATACCGGCTATCAGATGGCGACGAGCTCATTACACCGCCACAGCGACGCCGACGGCCGTCCCCAGCCGCCCCCGCCCCCGCCCCCGCCCGACGGCGGCGACAGCGACGGCGGCGGCCAAGTGGCTGGGGAGCCGTTTGATGATATAAGCCGTCGTTGTCGCCTGATGGGGAAGCCTGGAGGGACGGGGGGGGGGGGGGTTGGAAGGGCAAACAGAAGTCAGGAAAATATACTTTTGGATGTGCCATTGAACGACATTGACATTGATTGATCTTCGTTGAATTGATGGCAGCTGCGGAAACAGTAAAATAAAGGTTAGCAGTGCTATAATGGGTCCCAGTGCCTGAGTATTGGCATGCAAAAACCAATTTGGAGTCGTAATATTGAAGAGCATAGAGGCTTTACTGCGCCGCCTGAACCAGCTTTTTTGAATATTTGCAGAGTTCAGGCCCTGAACTCTGCAAATATTCAAAAAAGCTGGTGGGTAGGTAGGTATTCACGAGCACGATGCACTATTTCATATAGGTACGCCTAAGTGTGATGGTCCGACAAAGCCCTCGAGTGTCGTAGACGGTTGGACGACCCACCACGGAAATTTAGGCTCCGCTGCTCTATGGACCATATTCCCCACACACCCGCCCATAGCTTATAATTTTACCGATATTGCATGTCATCCAGGGGGGTTCGCTCCCGTGCCTTCAGCATTACGAAAAATGGCAACAGCCCGTGAGCAGCATCAGCGCTCACGCACATGTTCAAGGAAAACGACATGTAATGGACTGCTAACGACGGCCCTCTCCACCAATCAGCGCTCGGCATCTCGAGCGCTGATTGGCTGGTAGCAAACGCGTCATATGTGGGTCTCATTTTTTGCGATCAGTGAACGCGTTATTTAATACACAGTGGCCAATGGAGAATGGCACGCGGAACTGAAGGTCAGTCTTTTATTGCTTCGTACATGCGAATGGGGGTATTTGAGTGACATTTGACACCATTTTCGAAATCTACAGTGAATTTCTGATCGACTCATGTATATATTTTTATGAATTTGACAGTATTAGTGCTACATAGTCGGTGTTTTATGTTGGTGTTGTTTCTCTCGACCTTTGTCTTGGACTCTTATCCTATCTTTTCTCGAAAATGCTTGCCATAACCAGGTCTTAACTGTATCTGTATAAAGGGAATATGTGTTGAATATGAGGAGAAGGTAGTAATGACCATTCTGCCTATCAAACTGCCAGAAGGTGTGCTTGTAAGGTGATTGAAACTGCAGTACGGGTTGCAGATGTGGGTTTGACATTAGCATTGTTGTTGTAACCCCACTTGCTCTAATAAAATGGCAACATGGGGTTATGTACCCACTATTGCACAGCCTGGTATCAAGCTGGTTGATATGTGGAGGATAATGAAAGCATAAAAACTTTTCTCTAGTGAATAGGAGCGTTGCGTCTTGTGACTTATGTCAAGTCATTTTAAATGAAATGATTGTTATTGTAACTTTTACTTCAATTATTATTATTGCTAGTTTTGACCTTTTTAATCATCAAGTTTTATGTGTACCAATTTCATATGCCAGTGTAATGTCTTTGCGGCTTTGTGCAGTGAGCGTGTCTTGAAACAAACCAATTTATTTTGTACCTTTTTTTACTTCAACAAATGTATGTCAAAGGAAAAAATGTCATGTCTATTATCATTGACACTAGTACTACTACAGCTAACTTTGCCTATATTCCTATCTTTCAGAGGCATTCATCTGCTTTCCAGTGCAGTACCTAGGAGGCTGCAACTGAAACTCGCACAAAGGCAACCAAGTGTCACTTCATCAGCCTACAGTAACAGCCCATCTGTAATCAAGATATGGGTGAAGTGGCATAGAAGAACAACCAGTAAACATGAAAAGATGTATTTTGTTTTGAACTATTTCTTAGCATAACTGAACAGCAAAGTGCACACTTACTGCTTTTTATGTTTGCCCTGTGTGCACTGTGCAGTTTTGAATTATTTTAACTATGAAATGCTTTTGCTAACTACTCTCTTTACATAAGCTTCCTTTGTCATGCCTGTGTAATTTTGAGTTTACATGCATGATGTAGGCATGTTAGCATGTATTTCCCTTGGCTTCATAAAACTACTTCCAAGCATTTGTTATGGACATTGGTGCTACCTATATATGATGCTTCAGATGTGTCCAGTAGTTGATGAAGGGAGAAGAGTAGTAGGACAGCTGATAGGCTGATAGCTATTACCAAAAATATGTGCTTGTCTGCACTTCGGGCTGTTCCATCATATGCAACCTCTATTTACTTCCTTGCGTTAGAAACACTCCATCTTTTGTTTCTTTCCTGTGCGCCCATTGTTTCCGTGGTGCTATAAGCGTCAAGTTTGAAGTTGGTATCCAAGTGAGCAAAATTTGCATTATTTCAGGCCGTCTTGAATCATTCGTCTTGAATTATATCCCTAACTGACATCCTGTTATTTGTCCTGCAATGTCTGTGCCTGTGTCCGCCCTTACCTCCGGCTCCAGCCTCCAACCAGGCCTGCTGAGCTCTGTCGCCGGCGCGGTGTGTCGCAACGTGCTGTTTCTCCACTCCACCCGACAGCTGCTAGGAATCATCCTGTGCCATGCGCCATGCGACACAGCAATTGTAAGCTGCAGGTCACATTCGGAATGATTGGCTCCGCGTATGTGCATCCGGCCGGGTGCTAGTCGATATCAGGGACGTGGGTCGGACTGTTGTGGCGGCGTGCACTGTGCTGGTTGAAGTTGTTGTATTTCTGTTAGTGAAAAGCATTAATACATAACCGTGGCCGCAGTCCAATGTTATTGTGGATTTCAGAGGGAGTGGTCAGTCAGGAGGGCCCCACGTGGGTATAGATCCAGTGTCCAGTGGGATTGGCTAAGATTTCCGGCGATTGATAAACGCTTCTATGATAGTAAACCTATTGAGTTATGAGGGGAGGTCACGTGAGGGACCTGACCTTACTAAACTCTTGTGAAAACACGACACATACGAACGGTAAGAAACCGACAGCTCTTCTTTCTGCCAAGTGTCATCTTTCTGTGAAGGATTTCTTGGCACTGAGTGTCCAGAAATTGCGTTGCTTTTGGACTGTGTAGAGGCTCACGAGCAATAACATAGGTCAACAACCTGACGTACCTTAAATAGGTATGCGACTTGTACCAGAAGATCCAGCTTGATCAAAAGATTGTACATGTCAAATTTCAGCTCTTTAGCTCAAAAGAATTTTGAGTTATCGTAAAAACCGTCAGTGTGGCACCGTATCGCCTCCCCGCGCGGTCGGAAGGTAAAAGTTCGCCGGCTTTAACTAAACAAATAGTCGTCGTATCGCAAATTCATTGACGGCGTTCGAAGCGTCGTTCAATTTACTTTCGAAACATATCCTAACATTAACATTTATCTGCCTAGCGCAATCTCCAACAAGCAAAAGTTCCGTGCATGCATCCTCATACAGTGTTAGCGGCCGCCGGCCGCCGGCCGCTGACCCACATTCGCGTCATCAGGGAATGCCGCAACTAATTTATTGTTTCCAACTTTTTTCCCGGAGCGTTCTACCTGGTTTATATAGCCTTGATGTCATCCCGCACCGTACCATTCTGCCTCCCACACTGAGAAAACAGTGTCCCGATTTTCGGGCTCAGAGACCAGTTTTCGGGCTAATGTACCATATTCAAAACAGACAGCACATTTCGAGAATACTTTCTGAGCTAGCGCCACATGGGCTCATACGATCCCTTAAATCGGTATCATTGATCGCAGAAACAGAGCTCAGTCAGTACCCATTATCGGTGTCAAGCTCTAAAACTAGTCTCACTATGATACCAGTTTTCAGCCTGATCCCCATTTTCGAGCTCACCTGATTCCAGTTTGAGGGCTCAAATTGTGTGGTGAAGCCAATATTAGGGCTCACGTCATCGCTTTTCGGGGCTTTGGTAAAAGCTGGATTGCGTCAGCTGGCTGGCCAGCTGGCGACGCACGAAAGGTATTTAATTTTAGATATACCTAAGCGCGGTAGTAGGATGGACATAAACATTTCAAATGGCTTTAAATGAAAAATTGATTGGTAAATATTCATTCTTTTATATCTAGCATTGATATGTAAGAAGCTCTGCTAGCGCCACCATACGGCGCCAGCTGGCAAAAAATCCAGTTAATACCAGAGCCCGCTTTTCGTCCGATGCAGCCCCTCCTCCCCCCCTCCCCCGTGTCCAGCAGCTGCGAATAAGACGAAGCCGCGGACAAACTTTATTTTTGCTCGGCCAGCCTAGCGCCAGTCTCGAGCGGTGGGACAGTTAACCGGCAATTTTGGCCGGGATGCAAAAGTTACGTTAAACCGGTTTATGTTAACCCGGGAGCAAATAACAACGTGGGAGCCTATCTTAGGTGTGGCAAAGCTAACGGATTACTTACTTGTTGCCGAGGTGCCCAAAGAAGGTACTGGAACCGAAAACACAACATTGGTTCATGTATTTATTAACATTCATACACACAGTCATACTTGTGCAAGGTGTCAGTGTTCGGTTGTGGGGTGTAATAGCCAGGGAAAAAGTTCTATGAACTGAAAAACCCGGCGCCTATTACTTCGCAACATGGTTGTGTATTCAACATGAACTGCAAGGACTGCAGACGACATTGCCTGTGCTAACTTAACGTCTCACGGGCAGCGCCGCGCTCTGACACCTTGGTCCCAGAAGCGGCGGCGTTTCTGACCGCAAATCGCCGGAGAGCCGGTCGACGCCGTTGAGGGGACTGAGCAGGCCGCTGCCAGCTCCACCTTCACGTCCGCGCGGCGCAGCTCGGTGTGCGGCGGCGGCTCATCGCGCGGGCCGCACCCGTCCGTCCGCTGCACGAGCCGCTTTTCGATCCGACAGCGCAACACCGGCACGCCATTGTGCTGGCTGAGCGGCGGCAGCGGCACGTAGGCAACAAAACAGTAGAAATCGATGGGCCTGGATCGGCGT